TGTCTGTTTGTGTTCGGTAGTGTGGTGGACTTGATGGCACCACCTTGGTGGTAGTCTGATGTGGTGGAGAAGAGTCTTGCTTAGGTTGTGTGTGGAGGGGGTAGTATGGCAGTGTTGTAAAGTTATCAGTTGGAGGTGTACGTGAGGGAGTTGGGTGACGTGTAGATGAGGGGGGGGGGGGTTGTCGTGGTGGTTTTGGTTTCAATGGCATGGAAGGGTCTACGACGTGGATGTCGCGGTCGTAGGAGTTCGTGATTGTGTGATCAGAGCTTTGATGTGGTCACGCGATAGACATAAGGAGGAATTATTATTTGATGCATTTCTATGTAAAGTGTTATGAAATGGCCGGTTGGTTTCAGGTTCTTCATTTTTCCCTTTTATTGCGTACGGTTGTGTTGTCAAGGAAGCAGTGTAGACAGGTGGTGTGGCAGAGCGAGGACAGGCGGTGTGAGGCGTTTGTATTAATGCTGGTTACGTGTATTTTTTTTTCGTGTAATTCAGCTGCTCTACCAGGAGATAGTGGACGTGCTGGCACGACCTTTGGCGGGCAGTAATGACGAGGCCCTTCTCACGGCCTCCAATTTCGCCGTCTACAAGGATCGTTTGCGTCAAAAAACCTGCAACAGACTACTCGATCCTCGAAAGCTCAACACGTACGTCCTCTTCCACAGGTTTAAATTTTCATTTCATCTTGTCAATCTCTCTTTTTTCGGATTTCCAGACGTACATTTACGCATCGTCTTTTTTTTTTATTGCTGCATTTATCCATTCCTTTTTACTGTTACCCTCTTTAAATGAGAAGCTGTTTTGCTTGGCAAGAGGTGTAGAATGTATGGTATTTTTGCACTGCACAAGTCGGTGTGTACTCGCTAAATGGAGAGGAGTGCTACGCTAACTTACCATTCTTACAACTCACATGACAAATGCGGCTATCATGAATAAGCTTCTTCTCTTTTTTTTCTTGCAAAATTATATGATTCCCATGAAATGCATACGTCTATCATCCTCGACCCTTTTTGCGATTTTTATGCACCTATTGTGAATAAATTCTGTCACTCCACCAATTTTCCTCCATAAATGGTGAATTTCACCCGAGCACAATAATGACCTGATTGCGCCTACCTCCACCGGTTTCCTCCTCTGGAAATGGTGGTTATTGTGCTGTTTAGTGTTGATCGCAAAGTGTTGTGCTGGTAAACACCACAAAAGCGTTTCATGTTACGAAATGCGGTAATGTGCAACTTTGGTTTGCTCATTATACTCCATCATTCTGCCAACTTAGGCGTCTTTCGCTTGTGGAGTAGTGGGTAGCTCTTCTCTTTTCTCTCCTTCGGTTGCTTTGGGCTCATATGATGCTGAAATCATTTAAGCAGTATGATTTTTGTAAGAATACTTTGAAATGTGAAGTGAATAGTAGTGGAACTATGATTAATGGGGGTAGTATGGAAGTTTACAACAGGATGGGCAATCTAATATGTCCTTGAATGGTGACTATTGAGTGGTAGAACAGTCGCTGAAATGGTTTCAGTAGCGTTAGTGCTGACAAGAGCTGTGCACAAACGGAGGATTGCAACGCTGCTACTCTTCTTTTGGTCACTCGCAATGATGCAGGTCCATGAATGGATTTGGAAGGGTGTATTGACGTCCGCCACAGCAGTATGCAAGTCCTGTCGGGTGTGAGCGGAGATGGTTCAGTGAATACAGGAGGCTCGGTTTTGTCAACGAATGGAACCAAGCATGAATAGTAGGCGACACGAATCAACGCAGTTGTAGAGGAGTCATAGTGCTCACTTTATCTCCACGGCCTTATCCTTTTTGTAGTTGGGTGTATTGTGCGGAGTTGTGGATAACCTTTGCACAGCGCCGTAACGGGTTGTAGGCGAAGGTAAGAAGTAGTGTAGCGTATCATAGCTGGAGAGATGCCAAAGTGGTTTCACTAGTTATTAATCACGATGTTGTCTGTAATTGCGCACTGGTTTGCGTTTCTTGTGCTCCTCAAAAGTATCAGTGACTTGAATGACCACGGGTTCGCTCTAATTGTTGCTGTCTCACCTTGATTGCTGAAATAATGGGTCTTTTTCCTACCTTTTTCTTTTGATTTTTCACAGCCATCTGCGGAAGTACCTTCGGCAAGTTAACATACATCTGGTGGAGGATTGTATGAAGGCTCTCGAATGCCTCACTATGAACGACATGATGCTTTTTGTTCCAGCCTTCTTCTCCCGCCTCTACGTAAAGGCTTTCGTCTATGGCAACGTCTCTTCAACGGTATGACAGGGTTTTCCTATGGGCGTCTTCTTGAACCA